TCATACTTTTTTTACAAAATGAAGTTAGTTTTAAAAATCAAAACTATGTTTGGTAGTGAGCAACAATTTGAAAAAAAATTACATATATATAATTTAGTAATTTTATAATAGTTTCGGGCATTTATTTTATGATCACGGTTCACTTGATATTAAATGGTTATCGGAGTCTACATATTTAAAATCCGGAAAAGATTAAGGCTTGCTTTGCGGAAGTGTGCTAATTTGAATATTTAGTTACTTAACTGAAAATCACGACTACATAAAAAAATATATAGAAAAAGTTAAAATTATCGATAGAATGTAATCGAAATGGTGAAATTTATCAATTTATTGGTACATACAGGACTCCCATCCCTAGCTCATGTTTCTATTTAACAATCCTCTTTACGACGAGGCGAAGTAAACTGAACCCACTCCAGTCGAGTTAACATGCTGTGTTAGTCAAAAGTTCGTATTTGATGAATATCGTAAACAAGCAACAAGAATGATAAAGCATCCTTAGACCGTTCTGTGTCACATTACACCAAGTAGCCGGTGAAGAAAAAAGAATGAACTTCTGTCAGACGGACGGCAATGTCTATTCGAAAGAAAATTTAAATGTGTTCAATGAAGCACTGACTGAATCGACGAACGCCGAACTAATAAGCCGGCCACGTCATTGTCCCATAACAGTGAGGATAAGAACAAATTTGCACTAACATCATCACTTAACAACACAAAATCGTTGTGTTACAGTAACGAGTGTTACTGTGTTACTTATAATATTTGCTATGTGTATGTGCTATATAATTCTCATGTTGTATTTGTTATTTTAGTTATGTGTTATTTGTTCTACACACACTTATCACTTTTTATTATTATTCTCATTATCCTCTCGCAGGTCTGCAGGAAGAGATTTCTCAAAGAAATAAGCAGTGCCTTTGTACATAATTTTCCTATTACTCTGTACTGTGTCTTGTTTTCTGTGTCTACATAAATAAATAAATAAAATAAATAAATAAAATCGTTGCTATTTTCGTCTATATATATATAGATGTTTGGTTCATTTAAACTATGAATTTTGATACGGTTTTCACTTGAATTCAAAAATATTTTTTTTTCTAGAATGTTTAAATTCAAATCATATTCATAGAATGCCTACATTCGTTGTTAAAATACATTAAAAAAAACGAAATAGCAATTTCAGAAATGGCACGCAATCGAGGTAAACCTTCCTATTAATGGCGCGTCGCGAGCTTATTTCGCTATATTTTATTAGGCAAAGTATTCATTACTCGCATTACGTTATCATTTTTATAAATGGATATTTATAAAGCGAAAGCAAAGGTTGAAGGTAGTAAATGCTTTCAGCACAATATCCGCCGCTCCCGTTCGAAGGCGGGAGGCGTTGCTAGTAATTATCTGATACACATAATAAGTAGGGAGGCATAAAGCCGTTTGCACAACCAACGACGTCGCCCCTAAATAAAGTTTTTGTATCGTAACCACAACCTTTAAAAACACACCATGGGTTTATAAAAACGAGATTTAAAAGTTCTAATTCATACGTCGGATTTTTTTGTTTTATTGCTTACATGGGTGGACGAGCTCACAGCCCACCTGGTGTTAAGTGGTTACTGGAGCCCATAGACATCTACAACGTAAATGCACCACCCACCTTGAGATATAAGTTCTAAGGTCTCAGTATAGTTACAGCGGCTACCCCACCCTTCAAACCGAAACGCATTACTGCTTCACGGCAGAAGTAGGCAGGGCGGTGGTACCTACCCGCGCGGACTCACAATAGGTCCTACCACCAGCAAAAATATTTGGCACTGCTGCTCGACCTCCACGTTCGTAGACCTATACTCTATTCCAATAACGAAGTCTCATTTGACAGATGCTATTATTATGTTATTGTGTGTGTGTGAATTAATTGTATAATGATTTAGATTGATTGTGTATTTTTAAATGATGATTTACGACCATGAACAAAAAATGATTATTATTTCAAACTATGCGAAACGTAAGGAGTTACGTTCTAAGAAGTGTTAAAAGGGACTTCGTAATTGGAATACAGTATAGACGTACAGTCAAGACAAGGTGGAAAAATGTAGTGCTGAAGGACAAAAGGGAATGCAATGTTGCTGACGAGGATGTTGAAGACTTAGCGATGTGGTAGAGTAGAATGAGGATAGCTGACCCCACCACCATGTGTGATAAAGAGTCGGCACGATACCACGGCAGTCTGATGACAAAATCGTTATCTCCTATCAATGGATTTAGATATAGATGATCGTCACTAAATAAAAATTACATTGCCTTTTTGAACTAACTTAATATGAGATAATTACAAAATCCTGGACTAATAACTATGTAGGTTTGCTTCAGACACAACGACCCCCAAAACCACATGGTTTTGATATAAAACTCAACCATCGTAATTAAGATAGTTCGATTGATTCGACCGGATGTTATCCGATAATATAGTCACCTGGACATTGGAATACGGTTTTAACAAAAATTTCGTATTAAATTCATCCACGTCTACGCTGCATGAATATTTCAATGTATATTTTAATGTGACGTGAAATGTATTTGATGTACTAATAAATTTTCACGAAACCCGTTGTTACGTGAGGTAATGTAATTTTGTTAATTTGATTCAAGGTTTTTTTTTTAAGTTTTTCATTTCGATATACATTTCGAAATCAGTAACGCTTTCGTAAGTAATGAATTCTTATGAAGATTATTCAAACTCAGAACATTTAAGGCTGTGATAAGCACCCAACATATTAATTATCAAATTAATATTATCTCTATATATAAAAATGAATTGCTGTTCGTTAGTCTCGCTAAAACTCGAGAACGGCTGGACCGATTTGGCTAATTTTGGTCTTGAATTATTTGTGTAAGTCCAGAGAAGGTTTAAAAGGTAGATAAATATGATAAAGCTCGGAATTAAATCAAAATAACAATTTTGTTTTTCCTTAGATGTGTCCCCCGTCGAACGGATTCCTTTTGTTTGTTTTAAGTTTATTTTATACAAAAGTTTAGGTCTTTTATTTATCGATTGAGGCACTACGAAGTCTGCCGGGTCAGCTAGTTATTAATAATTATTATTAAATTACCAAAAGGTTTTTATTCTATAAGCATTTACAGACGCTATTATTAACCAGCTATGATGACTTTACCACCGAATCGGAATGCACTTTCAGGACTGCACGTAGAATCGACAAGAAACTAAACATCTGGTTCATTTGAAAACAAATATTCATTTCTACACAAACAATTCACAAGACATAAAACAAATTAAGTAGTTTTGGATACGCATAAATACGTGTAAGATTTAAAACAAACATGTTTTTTTTTTATTGCCCTTGTAGGCAGACGAGCATACGGCCCACCTGATGGTGAGTGGTTACCGTCGCCCATGGACTTCAGCAATGCCAGGGGCAGAGCCAAGCCGCTGCCTACCGCTTACAATACTGAACGCCACACAAATATCAGACCGGTACTATTGCTGTGCGCATACGTATTCAACTACTTACAAAAAACATAGTTAAAGTAAAAAGTCGTGTCCACTCCAACTTCGAGTTAATGCAGTAAATTAATTTTGAGTTTTTATACGTAAAATAGGCTCGATTCCGCAAGCACAATGCGATGAATGAATGCAGTGTGCTTAGTGCGAGTTTTTTAACGTTCTCGATAGCGTAAAAGTTAACTCAAATTTGTATGCAGTTGGAACAGCAGCCCTAACGGCAAAGAAAGGCAAACGATCCCTTTTTTTTATTGATTAGGTTGGTGGACGAGCTCACAGCCCACTTGATGTGAAGTGGTTACTGGAGCCCATAGACATCTACAACGTAAATGCGCCACCCATCTTGAGACATAAGTTCTAAGGTCTCAGTATAGTTACAACGGCTGCCCCACCCTTCAAACCGAAACGCATTACTGCTTCACGGCAGAAATAGGCAGGGCGGTGGTACCTACCCGCGCGGACTCACAAGAAGTCTTTTTTTTTCCTACCTAAGCTGATAGCCTCGAGAGGCTATACCCACTGAGAAGATCCGGCGAGACACTCAGTGGGCTGCGTCTGAGGGTTAATTTACTCATCGAGCCCTTCGTCGCAAGCGACGGGTTCGACGAGAACGATGACCGATCAAGAGGTCCTACCACCATTCCATACAAATATGAGTTAACTTTTACGCTATCGAGAACGTTAAAAAACTCGCACTGAGCACACAGATCGCAATCATTACGCCGCCGGCACAGTTTTATTTACGGCAATCGAGTGCTTTTTGTTATTAACAACGAGGCCGTCACGGAACATGCAACAGCTCCGTAGCATGACATCAGCTACGGCTACAACGTAGAGCTGTTACGATAATTTTTATTACACAACCTTTTTATTTCCATTCAACGAAAGCGTGTCGGCCCGATTCTTGTTACCCGAAGGTGTGATGGTTTTTGTTTTTGCAGAACGAAATGCAATTATCAATTTAAAATTAAACAAGATGTCTACTTAAGATTGATAACTGCGTTTTCGATTTGTACATATAAACCATACAAAAAACTTTCAATTAGAGTGTGACGCTGTATATTTATTTCACAAATTTCATTTTTATTTATTTTATCTATTATAATATTTAAACGTTAACGATTTAATTTTTTTAACTGCACATCAAAATACTTTCATAACATTAAATATTTGATTAGGGATTCGTTCAGTCGTGGCCATCGAAGCTAATTGGCAATGCGGTGCTTCACATCGGTTCGATGGTGTTTGGGTAAACCTTTAACGAATTCCACAAGACAGTTATAAACGGTCCTTGTATTCATTTCGTCACCCCATTCGATCAAGGCGGGATAAAAATAAATCTAGGAACAGACCGACCGTCGTCACTCAGTCGGAACGTAACGTGATTCTACGTAAACGCGTTCCGTACGTATTATCCTGGCTAGGCGGTCATTTAGGCGGGTTCTAGAAAAAATAAATAAACAAGGAAGTTTTCACACAGTGGTACCTGATCATGTGGCCCGGCAGGGCGGAGGCAAGCTGACACGATATGCGACGACGGAGGAGGACGAAGCCACTCTCAGGGAGCTTCTACTTAGGTACGTGTGACTTAGCGACAGAGGACTTAGCTTTCCGCCTTTTTAACTGGCTTCATTATGCATTGTCGATTCATAACGATTATGTGTGTCAATGTGCCTGTCTATTACATTTTTTCACACCTATGGCTTAGCATCCGAAGTATCTTGTATTGCAGATATGAGGGTGTACAGACGAGCGCTATGGAGGCCTTCTCTCATTTCACTGTTCCTTCTCATGACATCGGACATAGCACACCGTGATTAACCTCGATGGCCATGACGATCTCTATCAGTTTTCAATACCATTCCCTCAAAATTTCGCTTAACACTTCGCAAAACCTCTGTGTAAGAGGCAGGAAGCGTGCTTGCATGTGTGTGTTAATACTGTGTCCCATTGTGTAGAGTGTGTGTGTGTTTGTGTGTGCGCGCGCGTGTTCTGTTCGAAACTGTCGCCTTAAACATTTTACAGCTTAACTCTGAACCGTTGTATTATCTGTATTATCATATTCACTCACTGTAGATCAAATGAAAACACAATCACTGCATTCACATTTGAATTTTAAACTAGGACCGATTGTTTCGCATTATTGAATAGTCTCATATTATGAATACGAACTGAAACGTCTACCTTTACTGAACCGATAACACGAACGTGAAAGTACTTAACGAAACTCGAGAACGCGTTGCGGAGGGGAACAAAAGCCTCAATTTGATGGTCGGGTTTAAGCTTAGCCTTTTGAGCGTCTGGCGACGAAATAACGAGATTACAACGCGTACTTGTTCTAAAGGCTTCGTCAAACAGAACGCTTACTTAGCGCTGCGTTTTAACGTCGCGCTCTTTACATGTCACACAAATTGACTAGATAAGCCCAACGCTCCTTGACGCAACGCATTCGCCAAATCATAGTGCCTTTGGATAGCAGTGTGAAAATTTAAAAGTATATCGAGTGATTCAGATGTGGCATTGTATAAACATGGGTATTTCCTAACTATTTATATCATTTTTTCGGGCATTATCCAGTATTTTAATACACATTCAATCGGACGCTTAAATAAAATTTGTAAAAAATTACTACGCCTGACGTCAAAGCGTCCTAACGCCGCGACTGAGCGTTGCGTACTTACAGCGCTGGGGCTCTGTTTGACGGTATGTTACCATAGTAGTACAACGCATCTCGGCGTCATAGCGCGCCGTTAGTTTAGCGCTCTGAAGCGCGCTAATTACGCGTTCTGTTTGACGAAACCTTAACGTACATACGTGCGATAAGTTGATTGCACACTCTCCTCTTCACGGATTCCTTTATACAACTTCATTTGCGTGAAAATAAATCGTATACAACTGAAAATCTGATATGAAACGAAGATGAATAGTGGATGATCGTCGGCAAAGAAAATGAATAGATAGAGACGATAAATTTAAATTAACTTTTTAATAAGTATTCGTCCTGGCTTAACTTGCCCGTTGTGGGTGTAATATTAAATTGTGCTCGGTACACGTTTTGTGGGATAGTAACCGCAGGCTTGTTGTGGTACTAAAGGACTGTATGATCATCTTTATTCGAACCTGCAAATGAAATGGCGTTACATTAAAGCTTCCTTTATTAATATCGAACCTATTTAGAAATCGAACTAGATATTAAATATGTAAATTTCAATATTGTCAGTATGTTTCCTAGTCTGAATGAATTAAAGAACTATAAGTATACCTGTTGACAACAGAATGAAGCAAGCGTTGAATTAGGTGTAGCTCTTAGGTCGGCTTTCTATTCATCGCGCGCCTGTTTGCTTCCCCGAGCCTCTTAGATCGTTTGGCCGGCAAAAGCTCGTGTCGCTATAGGTATTTATCGCTAACCGAGCTTTAAGCTTACGGCTACGGACGTGACTAACAAGTACAAAATAGCTGAGAAACCTAATCTCTGAACAGCAATACGAAAATCGAATTTAATGAAGCAAATCAACGTAAATTTTTATCACTACATAGTATAAAACAAAGTCGCTTTCTCTGTCCCTATATCCCTATGTATGCTTAAATCTTTAAAAGTACGCAACGGATTTTGATGCGATTTGTTTTTAATAAATAGAGTGATTAAAGAGGGAGGTTTACATGTATAATAATATCCATTAAATAATGGAAAAATCAATCATAAATCACAGTTTCCGAAGCGAAGCGAAGGGGGGTCACTAGTTTTTTTTTTATTATCTTAATAATAAAATTTAAGAATGGATTAGATGATTGATCTTTAAACATTTCGATCAGCCTTCAGAGACAGGTGAACGTGATGAGCATGAACCTGTCCGCAAAACTGGACGAGCTGCAGCGGGGCGACCGACAGCTGGAAACAACGGTCGCGCTCTGCGAGATCAGGACTCAGCTCCAAGAGTTGACCAAGAGCGTGGAGTCATGCCAGAGTGAAGTCTCCGAGGTGTGTCTTTTTTATTGTCCTTGTAGGCAGACGAGCATACGGCCCATCTGATAAGTGGTTACCGTCGCCCATGGACTTCAGCAATACCAGGAGCAGAGCCAAACCGCTGTCTGCCGTGGGTCTTACAACACATATTTCTTTTTTTATCAACATACAACAACATTATTTGCATAGATGGGTGGACGAGCTCACAGCCCTATTGGTGTTAAGTGGTTACTGGAGCCCATAGACATCTAAGACGTAAATGCGCCACCCACCTTTAGATGTAAGTTCTAAGGTCTCAAGTATAGTTACAACGGCTGTCCCACCCTTCAAACCGAAACGCATTACTGCTTCACGGCAGGAATAGGCAGGGTGGTGGTACCTACCCGTGCGGATCCACAAGAGGTCCTACCACCAGTAATAATCTTTGTCCATAAATACATACATGACTATAATTAATCAGAAATTTTAGTTCAATTATTAATTCAATTGAAGAAGGTGTGCAGCAGGGTCGCGTGTTAATTATAATTCGTAGACGAATTTTCAGTGTGTCTTACGAAACTCATCAATTATTCGGCAAGTGTAAACGAACGAAAGCTGCCTAAAGTCCGCAGCTCTCTGTCTGTCGGTTGATATTGCCAAGAACCCAAAGTACGGAGGTCGATATCGATCGGAAAACCCCGAACGTTCCGAATTACAACACTACTGTTACAAACTTGCCGAATACAAATTACAATGTCTGCAAATTGTAACTATTAGTATTATCTTAGATTTTTGGAACTTAATTTACTGTGGAGTTTAGCTACGAATCTTCATACTCTAACAAGAAGAAGGACCCTTTTGTCATGGCGCCGGAATTTCAAGGAGTATCCTTGCAGCTTTCCGCGAGTATCGGGATTCTGGGGGTCGATATTTCGAGCGATGTCCAGTTTCGGAGTCATTTGGAAGGTAAAGCCAAATTGGCCTCTAAAATGTTGGGAGTCCTCAACAGAGCGAAGCGGTATTTCAGGCCTGGACAGAGACTTGCGCTTTATAAAGCGCAGGTCCGACCTCGCGTGGAGTACTGCTCTTACCTCTGGGCCGGGGCTCCCAAATACCAGCTACTTCCATTTGACTCCATACAGAAACGGGCTGTTCGGATGGTCGATAGTCCTGCTCTCGTGGATCGCTTGGAACCTCTGGGTCTACGGAGGGACTTCGGTTTTCTGTTTTTTATATCGCATGGTCCATGGGGAATGCTCTGAGGAATTATTCGAGACGATCCCCTCATCTCCTTTTTATCATCGCACCTCCCGCCATCGGAGCAGGGTTCATCCATATTATCTGGAACCGCTGCGTTCATCGACAGTGCGTTTCCAAAGATATTTTTTGCCACGTACCATCCGGCTTTGGAATGAACTCCCCTCTACGGTGTTTTCCGAGCGCTATGACATGTCCTTCTTCAAACGAGGCTTGCGGAGAGTACTTTATGGTAGGCAGCGGCTTGGCTCTGCCCCTGGCATTGCTGACGTCCATGAACGACGGTGACCACTTACCATCAGGTGGGCCGTATGCTCCTCTGCCTACAAAGGCAATAAAAAAACAAAACAATTGATTTTTTAAATAGATTTTAATTTTGACTTGTTTGGATTATTCTTTTACACAAAATTTTACACTGAATATAAAGTTTTAGGGTGCAAAATTTGCTTTGTTTGTCCGACTTCTGCTAACATTGACTAATGAAGACAAATTTCACTTCGAGGACTTGATAGTAAAAACTACCAGATTAATTTTTATGCACCTGCGTAGTAAGTAATAAAGTGTATAATCGTTATCGAAATACCAGCGACGTATTACGTTACTACTCTGTTAGAGATCATCTTTATAAAGTATCATACACTTATATTTAATAGTGAGTATCATTGAAAGAGAATCTAACATAAACACTTAATTAATGTAAAAGTTAATTTGAGAATGCACACAAAACATATCAGATAATTACTTGTTTTAAGCATAGTCAAATTAAAAAATTCTAAAAATAATTTATTTATATAATTATTGTATATTAGCATACAGTATATCATTTTGAAATAACAAAGCCACTATCGAAGTTAAACAAAAAAAAACTTACTATAACCAAACTAATAGAAAATTAAATTCGTTTTATGGTGTAGGTCAAACGCGACATGGTGGCCATCAAGCAAGAGCTGGATACGGTGCAACAGGTGAAGGAAGAGATCGAAGAACTGCGAGAATATGTCGACAGACTTGAGGAGCACACTCAACGAAGAAAACTCAGGCTGCTCGAACAGGCGAGATTACACATCTATAAACAGTTTCTACAATAGTGCGCGCGGAACCGCTAGTCACCTCCTGAGGCATGTGGCGGGGTGAGACGGGGGAGGACGCGATTGACAAGACGCACACGTTATTTTAATTAAGTGCAGATAAATCTGAGAATAACATGTTAGAATTAATGTAATGGGTACACCTAACTGTAATATTGTATTTTTCTACTTCTTGGTTAAACAAAAAATGCATATTCAAAAGTGTTTATTATATTTTATTATTTACGATACGAGAAAAAAAACCTGTGCACATTGTAAATGAAATATTTTACACATTACACATTTATACATTTTACACTGGTCGGGTAATTGGTGGACCCATCTTAGGATATTTTATCTCGTTTATGTTTGGAACAGACTGGCAAGAACAATTGAATCGTGTAACCGCCGCGGTGGTCGACGGCAGACTTAGCTTGACGTTTATCTACCTCCCCCGCACTGCCGCTCACATACCTCAGGCGGTGACTAACACTTCCGCGCACACTAAAGCTAGCCTTGACAAACAGGCAAGAGCTGTCAACTCCAGCATTACTAATGCGGTTCAGAACATAAATACATTACTATGCACTTTGCTGCCAACATACAAACGAGCTCACTTGATTTTACGTAGTCACCGGAACACACAAACTAACTACAAGACATACTGCGACGCAAAGAAGTCAACGTGTCAATCGTATAGTTTAACTATTGTCCCGCTATTCAAACGGATTGGTTTGCAGCAGAAATAGGCGAACACAATACCCCGTCTTCATTTAGGCCGCGGCGACAACCTTTACGTCATTACAGACGACTAAAGTGTTATTTGCCAATTTTATTTAATGTTGCACAATTAAAAATTGACTATATGAACATTGACTTTAATAGACAAAGAGTGGGTCATAATGTAAATGGTAGAAATGAATGTTGTGCGTTTGTACGTATGCCTGCAATCTTAAGTCAGCGTCATTACTGGTGGAGCGAAGGATTCTTGTTTTGGTTTAAAGGATTTGACAATCGTTATTAAAAAAAAAATATATATTATATACCTTAGGTCTCAAGATGTGATGGCTCTTAGAACCGATATCAATTTGAAAGAAGTCGTTAACTTCGCCTGCTTAATAATAAAAGAAAATTTTCAGACGAATTGAGATCCTCATTACTTAAAGCCTTTTAGGATGGTACAATCATCTGGACTCAAGACATTTATTCTTCAGAGTCATAATGTTTGTACCTAGATTAACATCTATACATAACAAATATGTAATCCAATTGCGTAAGATATTTGATTGACAGGAACATTTTGCTCACACCCACAGGGCCTCACATTCTTCCTGTCATACGCTATCCTAGCGGCGGTGTTGGGGATGCTGCAATTCGGATACAACACCGGCGTAATCAACGCTCCTAGCAAAGTAATAAATTTGGCATATTCTATGTATCTTTTAGTTATTAAAAAGAAAGAAATCATTTGTTTATTTTTTTATAGAACATCGCAAACTTCATGAAGGACGTTTATAAGAAGAGATACGGCATAGATTTGCACGACGGCACCGTCAACTCATTGTTCTCGATAGCGGTCAGCATCTTCGCTATCGGGGGAATGCTCGGGGGTTTCTCGGGTGGCATGATTGCCAACCGTTTCGGAAGGCAAGTACATTTTTTCTCGCCTCGCTAGCTTTAAGCGGTGTAATGTAAGCACTTTACTCGATCCTTTGATATTATAAGAAATTTATCTTAAACTCTTAAATTTGTTCCAAAGAAAATCTTGTTATGCACCCCTGCTGACGTTTTGACGCTGCTCTAATCCAATTTGGCCATTAAAATTCTCGAGTTCCTTTTAACGGGTTATTGGAATAGCTAGTACTATTTACAAAGCTATTCCGGGTAAATAAAGCTGTCCATTTTAATCAGATTCGAATTTGCAAAGTTAAGGTTTTTAAGGAAACATTTTCTCTTTAAATTTATGTTAATTACGTTCCCGTTATACGCACACAACAAGATTATTTAGAGCATTATCTCCAACAAAAACCATTTGACTGACGAGAGTATCTTTAATTTAGGAAAGGAGGATTATTGCTCAATAACATTCTCGGTATAAGCGGCGCGAGTCTCATGGGCTTTACCAAGATCTCACATTGTTACGAATTGCTCATCTTCGGCAGATTTATTATAGGTGTCAATTGCGGTATGTATCCACTTTTACATTTTGCATATCGGTGTTCTAGTTTCAAGCTTTTTAGTTTTAGTTACGATGCGACCATTTCAAAATAAGATTCTATATAATCGATTTCAAAGTTGTAGAATTTTGGGACCCCGAGATAAATAAAAGTATCCAAATTGATTTTTGTAAAGTATTTTAATTACGGGTGGTGACATATTATCTGATCCCACGAGTAAAGAGTGAGCACCGCCATCCTGCCATTCTAGATTGAAAGGTGGAATCGTCATTACACAAAAATTTTGTACATTGTAAATCTACGATTAAAGCTTCCAACTCATGTCTTAAGGGCATTCAAATTACGATGTGTATGGGTTCAAGTACCCACTCAATTCAAGATAAGACGAGTTAGCTCGTAAAAGCATAAAGTTGAAATAACACACTAAATCTAACATTTTATGTGATCGACAAGTCATCTCTTAATACATGACCTCCGAACGGTGGCCGGCAAGAGGTCCATGAGGAGAGAGAGGAGAGAGAGAGAGGAGAGAGAGAGGAGAGAGAGGAGAGAGCGAGAGAGAGGAGAGAGAGAGGAGAAAGGAGAGAGAGAGAGGAGAAAGAGAGTAAGGGCTCAGTGGTATCAATTGGGAGAGGCCTATGTCCAGCAGTGGACGACTGTGATAATAATGATGAAGTCTCATACTATGTGTCATTAGTCTCAAAAGTAAAAACGTTAATAATGAGTACCTAACGTGTCGTCGTAAGAAAACAACATTCATTTGGTGGGCTTTTCTTAATAACATAATTCTCGTACAGGTTTGAACACATCCTTAGTGCCAATGTACATATCGGAAATCGCTCCGCTGAATCTCAGAGGCGGTCTGGGAACTGTCAACCAACTAGCCGTTACCGTTGGTTTACTCATATCGCAGGTTCTAGGCATCGAACAGATTCTTGGTACAGACGAAGGATGGCCGATTTTACTAGGTAACATTATCTCAATATTCTACTCTTTTAAATGCTTATATTTAACACCTTCATTCTCTAGCTATTTTTTTATTGGAAATGGGTAAAGAGCTGGTCTTATGGTCTTCATGGAACCCAAAGTGAATTCCCCGTTATATTGAGGCTTTTGATCAATATTGTATATATGGTGGCTTCTAAGGTCTAAGAACCGGATCAAAAGGCCATAAAAACTTCTTAAGAATAAAAGTGTATCTATTATTTTTACTTCATAACCAGAAACATGCTTTTAGCAGTATTCATATGGCGAACTGGTTTTTGTTTTAGGTCTTGCGATATGCCCAGCTATATTACAACTCCTCCTACTCCCGGCTTGCCCTGAATCCCCTAGATATTTACTCATCACCCGCCAATGGGAAGAAGAAGCGAGGCGTGCCCTAAGGAGACTACGAGCTAGTAATCAGGTAAATTGAACTAATATTTAAATTTTTATTTAATTCCGAGCATTTTCATATTTATCTACCTTTTAGACTTTCTCTGGACTTTCACAAATAATTTAAGACCAAAATTAGCCACATCGGTCCAGCCGTTCTCGAGTTTTAGCGAGACTAGCAATTCATTTTTATATCCCTAGTCTTGCCATAAATACTGAGACGAAGGGAAAAAAATCTATTGCAAATAACATCTATTACTTTTACAGTGTGTTAGTTTAATACATAAATATAAAACAATTTAAAGTATAAAAAGCTTATTCGAAGTGGTCTCCATTGGCTGCAATACAATCCTTTAAACGTTGAAGCCAGTTATCAATAGAAGCACGCACTTTTTCCATGGGAAAAATTTTCACTGCCAATCGTACGGATTGTTTTAGGGACTCCAAATTATCATGGCGTTTAGAGCAAGCCGTACTCTCTAAAACTGACCATAAATCATAATCCAGCGGATTAAGATCGGGACTAGACGACGGCCAATCTTCAGCTCTGATGAAGTCCGAAACGTTCGTTTCCAACCAAGACTGCGTAGACCGAGCTTTATGACCTGGCGCCGAGTCTTGTTGGAAGAACCATTCTTGATTATTGAACTGGGTGTTGTTAAGGGGCTTCACTAACTTCTCAAGAATGGTATCTTGATACACTTGTGCCGATGTTTTGATAACTTTTTCACAAAAGTATGGCTCAGTCACTACTTCATAGCTAATACCCCACCAAACCATCACTGAAGTCGGATAGTGCCCAAGTTGCACTCTGTCGACTAATTGGGAACCTTCCTTAGCATAAATACGGTCATCTTGTTTGTTAAAATGTTGCTCAATTGTAAAAATTTTCTCATCCGTAAACAAACATTTTCTATGACCTCCCTTTGCGTACCGCTTCAGTAGTTGTTTCGATTTTACCACCCTATTCTCTTTTAAATTATCAGTTAAGAAATGACCAGTACGTCTCTTATAGGCTGCCAGTGCTAAGTCATCTTTTAAAATACGCGACATGGTTCTAGGTGCTATCTTCATCTCCCGAGATAAAATCTTTTGCTTTCGGACAGGATTTTTTCGAATTCTTTCCCTTAAGGCTTTGACCATCTTTTTCGTACAAACACTACGTGGACGGCCAGGTCTTTTTCTGTCACAAATAGGGGAGGTCTCATTGCACCTATTAATAGCCCGGTACACAAACATTTTACTAATACCAAGCGTATGGAGAGTTTTAAAAATTGCATTTGGCTCCATACCTACTTTCTGTAATGCAATCACAGCGATTCGGTTCCCTTTATCACCCCACTCCATTTTAATATCGCAAAATATTGTATAATGTATTGGCGCCAAAATGAGAAAATACAATGAGCAATCATATAAAAATGACATTCCAAATTCAAATGTAATTTTTTTTTTTCCTACCTATGCTGATAGCCTTTAGACGCTATATCAGCGTCGCCTTAACTAGTAGGTGAGCTCACGGGGCTCAAACCTGATGACGTTGCTAACACGAACCCTAGCAAGAGCCGTGCTTCGCAGAATCTACCGCCGCATCGGAAACGCGACCCACTGAAAATTTCCGGCGAGAAACTCAGTGGGCTTTGTCGGGAGAGGGATGCTCAACGTGGGGTTCGGAGGGCGACCCCTTTTGAAGAGCACCGCTGTGCTTTCGTGGGGTTGATGTCGAAACGCCCCTTCCGAAACCACTGTCCCATGGTGGTAGCTGCGGTCTGAAGTCGCCGATGTAGCAACGCCTTCTTCCTACACGCGTAGTAGATAGCCATGTCATTGGAGAAGAGCGCTAGATGGGTCTCCGGAGACCAGGGTATATCATTGATATACAAACTGAACAGTAACGGGGAGAGGGCGGAGCCTTGCGGAACTCCGGCTGTGACGTGACGGGGGCGGGAGCGGGTTCCCTCGACTCGATATCGGAACGAACGGTTCGACAAGTAGTCTCGTATGATGAGCCCGAGTCTGTCGGGTACCCCATGTTATACAGTTGATATATCAAACCGTTGTGCCAGACTTTGTCGAACGCCTTCGCTATATCGAAGAAGAGGGCTCCTGTCGGGATGGGTTTCCGCCTGTTCAGCCCAAGTAAAATGTGCTCCGTGAGGCGGTGCACTTGATGGACGCACGCAGTGTTTAGCGCGGAACCCAAACTGCTCGTCTATTAGAATTTTATTCGCGGTAACGAAGTCCCAGAGGCGCTTACAAAGGAGCCGTTCGCATAGTTAACCTATCGCCGGGAGGAGACTGATGGGGCGGTGACTCGCGGTTTCGTTCTTCTGATTGTCCGGCTTGTGTATGCCGATACGTCAGCTTCTTTCCACGCCGTGGGAAAGTTCTTCATAGCAGCATTTAAGATGGTGGCCAACATTGTTTTCAGTTGGACTGGTAAAATTTTTAGCGCGCGATTGTGAATGCCGTAGGAGCCGGAACCTTTCCGTGGTTGCAGGTTAGCGATCACCTCCTTAACCTATAAAGAGGTAATGAGGGGTAACTCGTCCGAGGGCGACAGGGAAGCTCTGCGCTCGACCTCCCTGTCGACTAACCTCGGTGTGTTCGGAGTCCGCGTATTGAGTGCTGGTGGTGCACTGCATTTGCAGTGCATCGGCCAGCAGCTCTGCCTTGTCATTGTCATCGTAAGCCTGTGGTTGGCCTGAGGGGCGTACTAGCGGCGGCATAGTGACAATAGTTTCGGACTTGAGGGTCCTAGCTAGTCGCCAGTATGCTTGGTGTGTGGGCGCGAGTTCTTCTAAGTAACTATCCCAATTCTCATTTCGGGCGTAATTTAGGCGGGATTTGACCTCCCGCTGTAGGCGACACATTCGAACCCGGTTTGAATCCGTGGAAAGACGATCGTAGGCCCGAATTGCGGCGCTCCTGACTCTTAAGAGATCTCAAAGCTCGGGAGAAAGTCTGATGCGGTGGAAGCAGTCTTGCACATCGACTTGTTTTGAAGACCTTATGACCGCGGTCGAGACGTGTTCGGTAAGGATGTTTATGGATTCGACTGTGTCCTCGGGGGATGGAGTTGAATCCGGACCGCAGGGAAGGATTGGTGGAGCGGCATCAGCTAAGCACGTGCCCAGCTTCTTCCAATCCACCATGGTCCTCATAACTGGTTCGTGGTTGAGTGTGGGGAGACGGGTCGGTGGTCTGAGTCGAGTTCTGACATTGCCTCGATAGAGCGCAAGCGCAGAGTTACGTTCCTCAGCAGTGCTAGATCTATTGTGCTCGGACGACGCGCGGCGTTGTACGGATAGCACGTAGGGGTCGGGGGCTGAATATTTCGAATATGAGGTCGTCTATGAACACGTCGAGACGTCTACCGTTCACATTCGTGCGATGGCAGTTCCACTTAGTGTGGTGGCAATTTAGATCGCTTGCCAGAATAACTGCGTCACCCATACCGAGCAGTGTCTTGAGATCACTGCTCAGGAGGGGTTTGCCAGGAGGGAGGTAGACGGATGCGATAACGATCGGCTGGTGACCCGTCAGCACGATACGGCACACTGACGCCCCGATATGTATATCGCGGGATCGGTGCGCGGCGCGAGCAGGGGCTGGGACGTGTACCGGGCTTGGAGTGCCGATGGCTTACCTGCTATCGTGAGCGGCAGCGGTTTAGCCCACGCGGAGACGGTGGAGCGCGGGGCGCCGAAATCTTGGGCAGACGGTTTTGGGGGGCGCGTTGGCCGGATGCTTCCGCGGGGCCTTGGGGCATCCGCGGTAGTTGGCGCGCGAAGGTAGTGCACCCGTCCGAGGTTCTCGGTTGCGGATTCGCGGCGGACTCATACTCAATTTCCGACTCCGTGTCGGAACCGGAGCTAGCGGCCTCGGAGGACGCGATCGACGCGGGCGCGGGGTGGGGGGTAAAGCGGCGAATCGAGGATATTCGCGGCGGCGGCGACTGGTGCGTGGGGGTCGGACCCTAGACTGGCCCTGTAGACCTCAAAGCGGGACATTATGACCGGGCAGAATTCTCTAACGAATTCCGCGAACAACGCGTTGCTCGCGTCGCTTATTGTTTAAGTGGTGCCCGGGGGGCGTCCCCGGGACTTAATGTAACTAGCCGAAAGGCGAGTCCCCTGAATGGGAATTGACCCCCTGCGCTGTACTAGCCAGCAGTGATTTACAAAGGGGGTTAGCTATGCCGTGAAAACGGCAATCAGCTGGGATTGGGGTGGAATATGTATGGGAAGGTGGGACCTCACTAGGTTGTGAGAATACCACAACAAGCGTAGTAGATTGCTGTCTCGAAAGAGATAGTTTTTAAAAAAAATAATTAAAAATGAATGAAATGTAAATGTGAGTTTGGAGTTTTCGATTGCAAAAACAACGAACTCGCACTGTGATTTTTCGACTCAAGGTCGCGACGCCAGTGACATTTTTCGAAAAAACACGTCCGGACACGATGGCGTTGCAAGCGGAATTGATTTGTTTATTTTTAATTGTAACAGTATTTATGGCCAGACTAAGTGTATAGATTAATTGAGATAGATTTATATGCAACAATAGGTCGAAGAGGATATTGAGGAAATGAGAGCAGAAGAACGAGCACAGCAAGCAGAGGCTTCTATTTCTATGCGAGAATTGCTCTGTTCTCCAACACTACGAGCCCCACTTTTGATCGGAGTTGTCATGCAGCTCTCCCAACAACTTAGCGGTATCAATGCGGTAAGTATCACATTGAAATGTATTTTTAATTATTTTTTTAACTACTAGTACTACTAGAATCCTTGATCCCTTTAATTATTTTATGAACTACTAGTACTAATAGAATCCCTGAGGGAAAAATTTAAAGAAATTAAAGTTCTCACTATGCCATCCTAGTAAATTTTTGAAAATTTGATATATGTTCGTAAACATATTGAGGAGTTCCTAAAAAGTCGGACATACATAATAGAAATACTAGGAACAAACACAAGCTTGTTGTGCCGATGAGTAGGTTACATAAGATACGAAATTCATTCGGGTGTTTGTCTGTGCGCCTGTACAACAAAATCCAACAACATCTTCAGAACCTACATATACATAGGTTTAAGAAAACTATTAAAGAACATCTGTGCAATAAAGCTTACTATAAAGTCAATGATTATCTAGAAGATTGCACAAAGTGGGAATGAGTTGCTCGCTCCGGGCATTTCAATATTGTATTAATGGTTACGTTATAATACTCATTATAAAAATGAATATTTAAAAAAAACTAATATTTAAAAAAATATATATATATTTAAAAAAAAAAGACATGCCCGCTGAGTTTCTTGCCAATTCTTCTCGGGACGGAGGCTAGTTCTTGTGAATTGGCGGTAGTACTTTTGACGTTCAACAAGTATGTTCTTTCATTTATGTTGAATAAATTTTTTTTTGATTTGACGTGAGTGGTCCCGCAGTAGTCGAAATTCTAAATCGAATCGAAATTAAAATTATAAGTTTGAACATTATTAAAGTTCTATTGTCAAAGACTTCCATAATCACAGATTTCGCCAAGACTACACTATAGACAAATAATATTAAACATAAACAATATTAACCTATTCTAAATTTGACTACAGATTTTAAGAAATAATAAAAGTTTGACAATAAACAAAGAGTATATCATGTGTGTGTGTCAAATACATGGTAGTGTGTGTAATGTTTTCTTTATGGATATAAAGTATTTTTATGCATCATTAAAAAAAAAATTAGCACTCTGCACTTCTTCTCTATATTCTCTTTAAATGTGGGAAATTTCATACTTCTCCGTCCACGCAATTTTTATAAAAAGGCGTACAAAGTTTTGCTTCACGTATTAATATATAGATATGTAAGATTAACTCTCATATAGGCGTTTGAGACCCAAAATAGGCACTTGTAAGCTTATTATTTCCATCAGGTGTTCTACTACTCGACGTCTCTGTTCACCTCTTCGGGTTTGACGGAAGAATCAGCAAAGTTCGCAACGATGGGTATAGGAGCGGTCATGGTGGGGATGACATTGGTGTCCCTGCCCTTAATGGACAGAACTGGACGTCGCACGCTGCATCTCTACGGGCTCGGCGGAATGTTCATATTCTCCATTTTCATCACGATTTCCTTCTTGATAAAGGTGTGTCTTGTATGTTTTATTAAAAAAACTACATCCACGATCTAATCCAAAAAGTACTAATTACACGAAAAAATGGACAAAAAAATGTAATTTATATGGTAATCGTTTACTATGTTTTAAAAAAAACTTCGACTTTTTACCTATCTCACTATAATTCAATATTAAAATAAAAAACACTATGAATATTTTTAATACTAGAATATATTATACGCATTCAACTTCGTAATATTAATATATACTTTTACGTAATAGTTTAAATATTTTAGTAACTGTCAAGTTATTTGTAACAACTAAACCTTGAAATATCGGACATTTAGAACATAAATATCACGAAAAAGTGGGTCTATTAAAAACCTTATTAAAAAGGTTTTAGTTGTGTTGATTTTTATATAATATTAATACAATTCTAATTAGCATTTGATGCTTGAAGCTTGAATATCAAATTTATCTTCACTGACATCATATGAATTTTGATATTTGTATTCAGTTTCAACTTTAGTGTGATAAGTTCGTGAAACATATGTACTTTAAAGCTTTCGCACGCTTCAAGTTTCGCCTCTAACATAACTTTTTGCTTTACCCTTAAAACTATATATATATATATATATAATGCTTATAATATTATATTACTACACATCATATTTTTTTATGCGACCTTAATTTTATAAGATTTTCAAATTTTCATTTTGCATAGCGTTACTGCATGATTTCTGCTTATTATTTTTCTAATTATTTCTAAATAGTACGGTTAATTTTGTTTGCTTAGACGGCTGTTGGATTCCTCAGTATAGTTAAAAAAAAATTATGAACGTCAATTTATCATAATATTGTTTGTACGTTATTCGTTGACGATCATTTACTTGTGGCGATTTCGAAACGAATGGAATTCACAACGGCCGTCGCTTCGGTAGGCGTCCTCCCTAAATGACTACTTTCCTGTTTCCGAAACCGGTGTCTCGGTAGGAAATTGATTATTAAATAAAAGAATAAATTATCAAATGTAAATGTTAAGAACATCACTCACGTGCACTCAACACTGTTTTTCGTTTTCACAAACGTGTCAATGAACATGAATTACGACTCACGTGAGGCTGAACGCACGCGTTTTATCACAAGAAGCGAAGTTATTAACACAAAAAAAAAACACTGCTCAAAAGCAGATAGCACTTCACTAATATTAGAATACGCAGTACATGCGATAGATTAATGTAACACGATGCTGTTCAGCACCCGGCTGCCGCAGACCCGCGGTCCTATTGACCTCGTAACATCCTCCGCAGTACTCAGGTGGAGACATACCGACACACAGACAGACAAGTGTGTGATGTACATTTATGTTTGCGATTTATTTTTTTCTGCGGTCGGTTACGGGAAAGAACATTTTTTCTATCCCCCTGATAGGAGTTCTTTGGCTATGTGCAGGAAATGATCGACTGGATGAGTTACTTGTCGGTGGTGTCGACGCTCAGCTTCGTGGTTTTCTTCGCGGTGGGCCCCGGCTCCATACCCTGGCTCATCACGGCGGAGCTCTTCTCTCAAGGACCACGACCTAGTGCTATGGCTATTGCTGTCTTAGTTAACTGGATGGCCAATTTCGTCGTCGGAATCGGGTTCCCGAGCATGAAGGTACATTACTGAGAGTACGCACACGTATTCGACTTTCGACTCGATTGAACGTTTCAATAACAAAGCATCGAATTACAGGCGCTGTTGGAAAACTACACGTTCCTACCATTTAGTGCATTCCTCGCAATCTTTTGGATATTTACATACAAAAAAGTTCCTGAAACTAAGAACAAGACCTTCGAAGAGATATTGGCATTGTTCCGCAACACAAACGGCAGGTGAGAGCATAAAAACGTACATTACAATGTAAATTATCATCGGCACACCCGCGGTCCGAGTCGACAACACCGACACGGTTCTCATTTACAACTTTATAATCACAAACGCACTTACAGACGTACGACACAGAACTCACGATCATAATCACGCGTTGCACGGATGTATATAAAGAAGTGACCGGAAATATTGAGTAGGAGAATGTCCAAAGGGAACATCCATGTATCGAAGTGACCGGGAATATTGAATAGAAGAATGTCCAAAGGGAACATCCATGTATCGCCAATTCAGAGTAGCTAGTGAGGCGAGACCGTAGTAGTATGTGTTGGTCATGACGTGTGGGGATGACGCTCGAGTGTGTGCAGGGACAGTTTTCGCGATAGTCGTCTCTACGGGAGCATGATGAACTGCGTCAACGCTCTGGAACAACAGCTGCCTCCCCCACCCCCGCCCGCTCCCGTCGACGAAAAACACGACTCATGTAAGTCTCCGCCCCACTGCGCTTCATCATCTAACTCACTCCACAACATTTCATTTACATTCTTGTCTCCGTCGTGTTCTCATTTTACGAAACCCGCATATTAAAATAAGCACGTACTGAAGGCAAGCTGTTCGTCAGCTGTTTTAAGAATTTCATGTAAATATTTTATAATCGTTTCACGTCACTCAATAATCACAATTTCATGAATACACACGCATTCAATTTAAAATAGCTCATACATCGTGTTATTTTCTAATTAAAGGCATCCGGGCTGCATTGCAGTTAAAGTAGTACTCAAGAATTTTTGAAACGGAAAGGAAAGTATTTGGTAATTAGTTTTTTTGGTTTACATATTTGTGTTAGATGTGTAAAAATGTTTCGTTGTTTAACAAATTAAAAAGGAATTCTGCTTTCTTTCTAAGAGTAATAACAATAAATGTTGTGTGAAATAATTTAGAATTAGAACGATAAAGAACTGTTAACTATACACACCCTTAGTTTACAGTTCGTCAGAAACATTGATGATCAAATTTTCATTCAAACAGATGATACCTCCGATTCTAACTATGAAAGACAAAGCATGAATTACTCGTGACTCAGTGGGCGCGTTTCCGATCCAGTGGTAGATTTTGCGAAGCACTGCTCTTGCTAGGGCCAGTGTTAGCAACACTCCCGGTTTGAGCCCCGTGAGCTCACCTACTAGTTCGGTGAATCTAGAATAGCCCCTCGAGGTTACTAGAATAAACTCGTGATATTGCCGAATCTAGTACGGGCAGCTTTTATATTCGTAAACTGTGACGTTTCCAGTGTCAGAGCAGTCGTCGGGTGGGGGGGAGGCGGGACGCCCCCCGCCGCCGCTTCCGCCGCCGCGGTTTCCTGTCACGGGCAACGTCTGACAATGGGAGACCCCTGCGCGTGCGCCCCTAGTCGCGCCGCTCAAGGCCGCCGCCAGCTTCTTGTTTCGTGGACTCAAGCGCCAAACGGGAGGGCGCGCCTCTATCACTACCACACAACAAATGTTCTAAATCAATGTGATTAGGTTAATAAAACGAAAATTAGTCTTTAAGTCACAGCGTAAAATTAATATAAAAATTTAGTCGGTCATTTTATGGCATAATTTATGAGTGCATAGGTACCATGTAAAGTGCCATCGGTTTCTTGTACCCATTTCTTTGATTAGTTCTTCGCGTATTACTAAATACTACTAAAAGGCGCGAACGTCATCGAGCAAAATAAGCGACAACCTAGGCGGTATATAGCTTCTGATACTTTATTCGATCAATAGTTATCGATAAATTTCAACGACTTAGATACACAATGTTTATAAACTAGTAGTGAAATATAAATATATATATTCGGCAACGCTGCGGACGTTTATCTGGTTACTTTTGTCAATGAGGAGACGTGCATTTCGAGAATATGTTCCGCACGTGTTAATGCCAACTATTTCTACGTAGACATAATAAATTGTACATATTTGAATGGGTACAGCGGTCGCACTGCCTGCCGGGGCGCGTGTCGGATGCGAGCGTGACGTCACTGACATGTATAAATGAATACAATGTAAATACATGCTGTGACTTTATTGAGTGTTGATTTTTTAAATTATATTATCAAATTTATTTTATAAATGTTTTTATTCTCTTTTACTTATAATTATGATTGTTATATTATAAATAATGTAAAATTATTGTCATATCTTAAATGACCGAGGTTATTAGTTGTTATAATTATATTAAAAAAATTGTAAAGGTAAATCGATCGGGGAATTGATTAAGTTAATAAAAATAAAACGATTTCAATGAGATTAATACAAAATGTAATAATGAAACCAATTGACACGATTTGCAGTGCTTCACCACCCCGCATTTACTTTATTTAAAAAGCATATTATACATAATATTTATTAAGCAATTAAGAAACGAAAAATAATTTTATTAAATTATATATATTATTATGTATATGTGTATTTCCTGTGTTTTGTAAACAAACGATAAATAAAAGTGAAAACTTGTAAATTCTACAATTTTGCGGAGAACTTTTAATGATGTTTAATGCTTTCGACCTATACGCCCGTAGTGAAATTTTTGATTATTCGTTAGTTAGGAGGGTTCAGTAGTTACAACAGGGTTGTAGTCAATTTGTTCGTCCGTGTGTTCGAACACTGCTCAATGTTAAGACTAGATGGTTCCGTAGCATTTGGTACAAAGAGCACGGCCTAATAGGGAGGAAACGGGAATTGAAATGGAGTCGTTCACGGTGAATGTATCTGTCGCGTGTCGTTGTTACGAAGTGCTCAAATGCGAGTGACACCCCTGAAGACCGGCGTCGCTCGCTCAATCGATATCATTGAAAAGTCTTCTAACACATTATGGTTGAGTGCGATCATATTGTTTTCTCATGGGAGCCGAATGTTAGTGTGACTTTGTAATGAAAATTTTTTTTTTTTTTAGATCTCTTCACTTTAATTAGGATGATTATAACGCTGTCGTATAAAATGTTTGTGATTGCATTCTCTTGGTACGTTGTATCGTTGTCGAAAGGTATTCATTGTTACGTTTGTAGGCAAGGTATATTTATCATGTTCAAATGTTTATTCAGTAAAATTTAGCATCAGCACATTCAAGTAAATTACGCACAAATTCTTTACGTTTAGATTGTAAAATGAAACGTTTCATTAAATACACAGTAAATCGAAATAACAGCAATAACAATAAAAGTGACATGGGTTAAATTTAAAAAAAAATCGCATTCCGTAATAAAATGTTCGACTTTAATTATGTAAATCAAAAGAGCATGATGTACGTGTGTTGTGAAATTCCAAATTTGAAATTCAATAAGCCAATGAAAATTGTGCCCTACACTGCCATCTATCGATGTATTAAGAGGAATATAAAGTTGTCTATGGGTTAAAAAAGGGAGAATATAAAGTTAGTAACTAAACAACGTTATAAGACTTTTAGTAGTAAGAGACGATGATTTTTTTAAAGCAATACGCATTCGCTTCTGAATTCAGACACAACAGGTACATTGTATTCCAGACGGTACAAATAAACGCTGTGTTGTAAATATAATCAAAACGCGTGTTCTGATTATTATTTCTAATATGCGTATTATTTTGGTAATAATAATGCAACACTAAGTTTCATTAGTGAATTGTCTCAATTGAGAATTATAACTGTAGACGTAAGGCCGTACAAAACATTAATTTCTTTTATAATTTTGTGTAAGTTTTATCCATTAGTTTAGTAAAAAAAAATAGTATCGGATTATTTTTTGCCGGTAATATTAAAATCTTCAAACACGTGGTTATTGTTAGCCATACTAAAGTGAAAATAGTGATTTTTGTGTAAGACAATTTCCGTTGATCATTTATTTGCACATACGTTGCAATAACGTCATTTATGCAAATTATGTATTTTTTCAGGAGAAATGTTGGAAAATTCAACATCTTACTATATAATACTTATATAGTTCTGCTAGGCTATAGAAATAAAATGATAATATTTAAACTACAACTTTAAACTTCATCAATAACAGCATACATCTCGATGGTCTCATTAATCTATATATATATAAAAATGAATTGATGTTCGTTAGTCTCGCTAAAACTCGAGAACGGCTGGACCGATTTGGCAAATTTTGGTCTTGAATTATTTGTGGAAGTCCAGAAAAGGTAAATAAATATGAAAATGCCCGGAATTAAATAAAAATAACAATTTTGTTTTTTCTTTGATGTGTCTCCCGTCGAACGGATTCCTTTTGTTTGTTTTAAGTTTATTGTATACAAACGTTTAGGTCTTTTATTTATCGATTGAGGCACTACGAAGTCTGCCGGGTCAGCTAGTAACTATTAAAAAATGTATTTTCCCATACTCAGTACAGTGTTAACAAAAATTGCATAAGTACCTTTATAGCACCGTATGTGCGAATTATACTCGTAGAGCGTGCTCACGCAAAAATCATTTCATACTGTAACATGAGGCATCTGCTCGAGACGTCGCGTTCAGTTTTATTCCTCCGATATGTATTTTATTCCGATTTTTTACTGGTAGTAGGACCTCTTGTGAGTCCGCACGGGTAGGTACCACAACCCTGCCTATTTCTGCCTTGAAGCAGTAATGCGTTTCGGTTTGAATGGTGGGGCAGCCGTTGTAACTATACTGAAACCTCAAAATTCATATCTCAAGTTGGGTGGCGGTATTTACGTCGTAGATGTTTATAGGCTCTGGTAACCACTTAACACCAGGTGGGCTGTGACCTCGTCCACCCATCTATGCAATAAAATATTATAAAATAATAAAATATGTATTCCTATCAATTCCAAGAGCAGTCAGATCTATCGCTAATAATAACTCAAATATTACCAAATTCATAAAGCACCTATGCAAATAGTATATACTCGTAGATTAATTATATCTTAAAATTATAATATAAGCCAAGCAATAACCTAAATAGTTACATTCTTATTAAAAGAGAACAATATAATTATATTATAATCACACGATACAATTATAATTAATTTGATGTCTTCCCTATCAACTATCGTGAAGACATAGTACCTACAAAGTTTATTTAAAATATACCTTAGACTTTGTACTATTTTACATTACACATCAAGGTTCCCTTTTTATCGAGGTTCACGCTATAACGATGTACAAGCAATAATTACGGAATTAGGCATAAATACGGTAGGCAGCGGCTTGGCTCTGCCCCTGGCATTGCTGAAGTCCATGGGCAACGGTAACCACTCACCATCAGGTGGGCCGTATGCTCGTCTGCCTACAAGGGCAATAAAAAAATAAAAATTTTTTTTTTGTGTACTTTCTTTTATTTCAACGAAATTTACTTAGTGTTGCATTATTACGAACTACAACGAGCCCATTACAGTCACGAACAGTAAAAGTTTCGTTTTTACTAATACATTACAGCACTCGTTTAGCTTATACGACAATAATTTATTTTGAGGGTCGCTGTGAAAGTTTAAATTGTTAAATACATTTTGAAGTGAATGTAATTATTGAATTTGCAATTTATTACAAATTCCAATTTTTCATTTCAATAACATCCGCAATAACAAAAGAGAGGAACTCAACAATCCGAGGATCGCACTGTCCGCTGCTAACTTAATATTACAAATACTGCAATAAATTGTATATACGAATAACATAAAAAAAAAAAAAAAAAAAAAAAAAATGAATATCAAATTACCACAATGTTAGTTAGTTGATTAATATACATTATAACTGTGTCGTCTTATTGCTGTTTTCATTTTGTATAACAATAATTATGCTAATTGAAGTATCTTCGGAAATTTTCACGAGAGGTATAAAAAGGTATATAAAAAAAAACTTTTCGGTCCAACCTTCCATTTCTATTGAAAGCTCTTACTCAATTTACAGTCGTATGCGACGACGGGAAATTAAAACAACAGCAAATACTTAGGTTTACTACAAGGTGTAAGAGGACCGTTATTGAAGCCGAAACCACAATAAAGTCCCATCTAAATGTTTCAAAAAACAATGTTAATTTACTGAGATTTTGTATTGAGTATGTACACTCCTGATTTTAGTTTTTCGTTGACCCGCATTCTACACATAAGACAATCGTCATCGCGCCCCGAAAGTTTGGAAGCGCGCGTCATCTGATGTTCAATTGTAATACATTGTATGTCATACGAAAAATCAGTCAATACAGGTTGCCTTCCTATAACCCGGTATTTTACATCACTATAGCGAAATTTTTGTTTAAAATTATTTAAATAATTGCATTATGCACCATGCACACACAATATGTGAGAATAATCGAAATTATACTGCCTATTTTTTATGTATAATATGTAAAGGCATACGTACAAACACAGTTGAGAAATTCATTCAGAAAAATGACTCTCCTTTTTGTACACGCTTCTAGTCTCACATAAGCGATCTCTCACAACACGGGATTTTGTAGAGCCGTATCTACCAAATTATAGAAGGGTTAACGTATTACTTATTAATCTGGATCACGGGAAAGGTTCAAATATTAAATATGTATTCGGGGCTAAGTTTAGTGACTTTTCTAGTAGTTCGTTAACTTTAAGTAAGGCTTAGTCATGATCTGATCGCGTTTATGACTACGACGTAAAGCGCGCGCGGTCGCGTCTGAACAATGCATGATCGTAATGGGCTCAAGATCTGTGGTTTTGGTATGTTTCTATGTTCGACATCGGCAATATAGCAAGGCTAATTAATGCACGGACGGACAGATAATGCGGCACCATGCGCAGGAAATAATCAACGCCCTGTTCAAATATTTTAAAGCACAATCCACGATTAAGCCACTCTCAAAGTATATATCATCAGACGCGATTGTGTTTCAATGTAACGGAGATTACTCCGTTCTTGTAAAAAATGGAACTTGTAAAATTTTATTGGAACTACTTGTTATAAAAATATAAAAAAAATTAACGAAAATTGTTTGTGTTTTTATTTCGTTATCTTGACGTTACCTCGTTGAACCTTAACCCTTTGAGTTCCAGTCCACACGTATTGGACATATAACCTTACATTACATTTGTCTTACGACCGAAAAGGGTTGATACTATTTTTTTTTCCATTTCTGTTGCTGTATAGGATTGAAATAAAAAATGCGCTTTACATAATAATATATTCATTATACATAATTATACATTATACATTATCAACATGCACCTAGAACAGAATCCTGGAAGCTGTTTTTTTTTTATAAACATCCAAAAATATGCAACACTGCGTCGTACATTAAAAAAGGTTCTGAAATCTTAAAAATTTGCAGTAGATACCTTTTTTTTCTTATTTGATTCTTATCAAACATCCTTACACGTGATTTCTCAAAATAACAGGTTAGTTCATAGAATGAAATTCGACGTTCGTCGACCCATCTTATCACTTATAAAAGCCACACATAACTTAATTGTTTTTTGAATGACAATTCCGCTATACCTTAATGCGGAATGCGTGGCTGCTCCATGATCCAAACGGACAGGACGGCAGAAAAAGTCTTTAACGACTTCCCATTTCCGACTCATTTATCGAAACATATCTTTTTGGATTCCCCGAGTCCACTCTCGGTGCTTTTAGGCTCTTCAAGCACCGGTCACCGACCTCGTTAAACTCGTCGATGGCGACGAAGAGTTCTACGAACTAAGCCGTAGACACAGCCCCCTGAGTTTGTTGCAGGATCTTCTCAATGGGTCGCTGTTCTCGCTAGGGCTACTGTTAGCAAATTCTCTCAGGTTGAGCCCATGATCTCACATACCTGTCCGCGCGTAGCTGTTATTTCCCCTTAGACTACCAGGGCATAGGTAGGGGAATAATAGCGGCTCCACGACAAACCAACTTTTTATTTTCCCTACCTAGTCACTTGTAGTCTTAGGGACTATTCCCGCAACTTACAGACTGGGTACAAATCAACGTAATCTCGACTATCAAATCTCTTATTTTATCAAACCGTTTAAGTTTGACGAACTAATGCTGTCATCATTCTTTAAAAAAATATATGCAATAATATTATAAACACATGTATATAGATAGCATAATATTCTAGCTCAGAGCTGTCCATTCAATGGCCCGCGGGCCGCATGCGGTCCGTGGCCTGTTTTCATGCGGCCCCCGACGCATGTCTTAAGCAGAAAATAATTTTGGATAAAAATAGTTATATAATAGTTATAAATAGGATAATAATAATTCTTTGTCAAAACATATAATCAATATTTGGTATATAACATTCCATTCCCATGACACAATTTAAAAGTAAAGCTATATTTTACTATTATTGGGGGAATTCCCGGAAAGTAATTTTGTTTTTAAAAATATTTCTTTCTCGCGGCCCTCCAGCTTTTGTAGTAAATTCATATAGCTCGCAAAGATGTTTATGTAGTTTGGACAGCCCTGGTATAGTTTATACCATATGTGAAGACATGAGCGGATGAAGGGGTTAAGTACCACTTTTAATATTTTTAAATTTTTACATTGAATGAAGGTGTTATGTGCCTATAAGCCATATTAGACCTTAAAACTCCGGGTTTAAAGACTATTTTTAGAAATTGCATGTGATAAAGGAGTTATGTACGAAGAAAAAGTACAACTAACAAAAATTTATTGTCCGTTTTCTCATAATTAACAAATTGTATCATATTCCCTCTACCACTCATGTCTTCATGTATTTATAATGAAACTGAAAAACCACACATAATTGAAACACGAATTCACATCAGACCATTTCGTATTGACTATTCAACGACGAATCTCCATGAATAAAATACTGGTTTATTTCGAAATAGAAAATTTATTCAAGCTATTTTAATAACATATTATTATTATTATTAAATAAAATAAACATGTCTCATAACATAATTCTAAACACAATTAATTGTTACAACAGTGTCTATGATAACAGTATTATGCATGATGCGTTAACCTATTTGCAGACAAGTGGTTCTAAACAAGAAATTCCAGGGTCACGAAATAAGTTGATCGCAGAATATAACTACGAATCTTTGCAATAAAACATAATAATAATGTTATGTGTATCAACCGTCATCCGAAGCATTATTCCCAAGTCACATAATTGGTGAATACGAAGGTAATATTAATTATTGCTGTTTTTTAACTAGTTCTATCATTAAGCTACCTAATATTGTGTTACTGTCATTGTATGAAATGGTTAACGGAACTGTCATTGAACATTATTAAATAATTTATATCATCAAATAAGGAGGGTAGAAGTAGGGAGTACTATCTCAGTGTATTAGAATGTGGGTCAATTAAAGTGGCGCCACAGTCGCAAGTGGAAAGATTTAAAATACAGCGCCATAACTAGATAGATGACAGATAACATAGAGTAGGATACTAGATTAAGAAGGAAAAAAACACTTCCTGCATAATTAGTAATAAAAATAAATAGTTGAAGTCACGAAAAATAATAAATTTTTCAACCCAGCACACTACTCTGTTTAAAACTGCTATTTTCATATCATTTCTATTTGCTACACTAGCGCTATTTCGGCGAGTCTTCCAACAATAGCTGTTTACAGGTGGACCCTTTTTCTTATCACCTATATAGGATGGTGCTCCTTATTTCTACTCTCCATAGTTAATTATAAAAAGGAGAGCAATGAAAAGATAAAAATATATTAGAAATATTTTGTGATCAAATTTCGTTCACAGGCGGAGAGATGCTGGTGTTAAAACATGTTGTATGTGTTTTAATAGCTCGGTTCCAATAACTGCGACATCTAGCGGGGTTATATTGAACTAAGCCTAGCGGGCCATCGTTTTTTACTCATTAATAGATGGCACTCGAAAAAAATGAATGTAAATTTTATACGATCACACTAAAGTTTTGGATTTAACACGCCGAATTAGTTTTTATACTGTATGATGAACAATACTTAAGCTTGAATTCGAAACTATATGATAACAAAAAAACAAAAACGAAATAAATGAAAATATTACTATTTCGGGTTATTTTATTCATAATAATAATTATACTATAGCATTTCTATAGCATCGAAGTAGTGAAAATAGCATTCAACTTAATTTTTTAACGCGCTTATATAACGAAATATCCCAACGTAATTTTAAAAAACTTCATAACTTTCAACTTGAAAGTTTGCGCACGTATCAAGCACTGATGACACTTTAGTACTTTTATTACTTTGGCCTAATATCCTAAACCGAACTAACGGGATATGAAAGAATATTTAATTCTTTATTTTGGTTTGCTGCTACTAAAACGTGTTTTTTAGTAATTAAGCTACATTTTTTTTATTATTTCTTAATATAATAACATGGCGCCATCGTGACGGCCTCAACTAATCATTCATCTCAACAGAGAAAGCATTCAAATATCGAATAGTCTATGTAAATATATAAAACATTTGTGAACACGTTCTGTTTGTTGAAAAATAGTATTTAATAAAAATATTTAATAAATCTCTTTATTGCTTACTTTACGTATTAATTTCAATGAGATTACACTCAATGTTGATTTAATGCACTTAGGTGTCATGTTTAAGTCACAGTTGGTATTTATCGAGAAAAAAAAACATTTATCTCTAAAATTGCTTACGTTCTGCCAAATAACAGATACGTTCCCATAATATTTTGATTAATAATTACTTATAATTTTATAGTTATTAAGGGCATTACATATATTATTTATTGTAATAACTTGGATTAAATAAATGAATATATTATATAATTATAATTTTATATCGACAGCTAAATACTATTTCTTCTTTATTCAATCTAATTTTATTATTGTTTAGGTATTTATTGACATTTTTAAAACCTGTTTAAATGGTAATTCAGAACCACGTTGCAATACATTGTAGTAATTTACAGGAAGCACTGGTCATTTTGAATAGAGACCGATAAATCACGCAACGACTAACTTTGAATGACGTCAATTATATACGCGCAGTGCAACAAATATAAATAAACGTAAATAAATATCTGATATCTTTGTATTCTAAGGAATGTATGGGCATGTACACGCTATTTGTAATAAAAATTTGATACTCCATCTGTCTGGGGTGTTTTTAATAAAAATTAAATTAAGAAAAATACGTTTGTCATTTGATACATACATTTTTTTGAAACTTATTTGATTAATGCATTAGGAGCTCAACTATTTCAACGAAATTAATTCTGACGCCTCAATTGTTAGTGCATGTGCTCAAAAATTATGATAATTTACTTAATGATTGTTAAATTATGTTGCTTTTAATACGTGTACTATGATGTTGTGTGACTCTTTCTACCGTTTGTATAGTGCGTATATTTCAGGCACAAAGCTGGTTTGAATCATGACTTATGTTAACAATTGGTGTTCAATAACAGACTAATAATTTCACTTCGTGCTCAATAGTTCTCTTTTTTAACTATTAATACTAGATTATATTGTTGTTGATTGATGTTTTATATCGCATTATTTTCAATATCCACACTATTATTCATTATTTCATTATTAGAAGTGTTTCATTATTTTTTTCCGGAGTATATACAAAACCGAAGAAATCAATGTTTTGAAGAGTAGCAAGGCCTGCTCATATTGTTACGCGATATCATTAGTGACGTAATCACTGCCACAGTTGAATACGTGACAACGGTTCTCGTAAACTGTTGCATCTAATCATAGGGTCATTATTAAGTTCCCGGCCTTCTATTACGCTAAAGTACTAAACAAACGCTTCTAGAGCTAAGAGGAGAGAAAAATTATACTACAGCAGTGGCCCAGTAAGATTTGACGTATCAGCGGTAACCTCATCGAATTCTGGTAATTAAGAAGAATCTACCTAAACTTACTTATAAGTACTAGCTACAGATAATAAAGCTGTGCGGTAGTGATAATGTCACGAGATAGCAGGGCACAAGTTTTTTTTTTTCTTTAACTGTATCAGCACTTTAACGATTAATGGACAACACTATTCATTGTCCGGTAACACATTATAACAATTATATGAGGACTGAGCTATTTCAATTATTGTAAATTAGCGGAATCCCTTTGAAACTTCACGTTGTTAAATTGAATATTTATAAAAGTCTTACATAGTGGGTTCGTAGAGTATCTGTTCCCTATATTTCAAATTTTCAGATAATTTTCAGATTGGCTAGCGTGGGTGATCCTAAGTACTTTGGTCGCGATCCGATCAAAGTCAAGTCAAACATCGACCAACAAAGCAGGCCTGATTTGACTAATTTACTCTATAAAGACTATAACATTATTTATTTATTTATTGCTTATATGGTCTGACGAGCTCGCAGCGCACCTGGTGTTAAGTGGTTACTAGAGTAACGTAATGCGTAATGCAACGTAAATGCGCCACCCACCTTGAGATATAAGTTCTAAGGTCACAAGTATAGTTAGTTACAGCGGCTGCTCCACCCTTCAAACCGAAACGCATTACTACTTCACGGCAGAAATAGGCAGGGTGGTGGTACCTACCCGCACGGACTCACAAGAGGTCCTACCACCAGTAAAAAGTGTTTTGACGTTGATAAAACAGCCCTTTTTTGGTTTATCTTTCAAAACGAATTTCTCTAAAATCGCGAGCAAATAAAAGGCTATAAACGCCCCAATAATCATACCATACCATCATTGGACAAGGCACGCCGATCTAGGAGCAAAGGCTAAATTGGGAAATTATTCATTTTTGAATTCAATTGTATTAACGTAACGCGGCATTTTCGAACCCGACAATGATTTTGCTGTATCGAGTTTTCTTCGTGGACCGGGGTGAGTTCAAGCGTGCGAGCAGGACAACTATGCTTTAGACCCCCATTTAACGACAGCCGGGTACCGCCTTACTTCTCTTCAAGCTCCTTAAAACGAGCCTTCAATTGCTTCGTATAGCTGTCGAGGCGGTAAGCGTTAACTTCGAATTTAGATACCTGGACTTCGATTTGATCTATCTGCTGGAGTAGGGGTTGGATCTGCTGGGCATCTGGAACGTTTAATATGCGCGTTTGAGTCGAGGAAACACAAATTATATAATCAATTAAAACTTACATGTTATGTTGATCGATATTTATATTTGATTGTTATTTGAAGAAGTTAAGAAATAATTGTTGATATCCGATTGTTTTAAACTAACGGTACATACCACGTGTGCTAATAAAATGGCGACCGAATGAATGTATTTGGACGGGACGAGATGTAGACGTTTGTCTCATAAAGCATCTCATATTTGCAAAGTATGTTTTTAACGTAAATCTTCTTATGTTTATGGAACATTTTATAACAATCATATTAAAAAACAGCCAGGTTTAACGAAAGCGCTAAGTGTTTTATTTGTGAATGTTTTCTAATGTTTTAATTACATTTAATTGACCCAAACCATCTAACCTACTCTATTGATAAAATACTATATACAATGAAAAATCAAGGCGTAAATGATTCGAAAAACTCGTGTGCAATTTCAACAGTGTAATGATCCGTTAAGTGCTTAATAAAAAAGATGTCGCTTTTAAAAAAAGATGTCGAAATTAGCGTACGCTCTAATAAATCGCGTACATGTACGTATGTTTAATTTAGTTACTATAAAACGTCAGTTTGAAAATGATTCCCAAACCGCAGATTAAAAGCGCAAAGCAGATTAGTATTAAAATGTTAATGTAATGCTTGACTTTAAGCGCGAATCACGAATCATTCAAGTTAGAAAATGAAACGAACACCTCCACCAACAATATAAACAATAAAACAAACTTATTTATCGATGCGTCCAACGAATGTGTAAGAATACCTAAACAACCTAAGAGAACATTTAGACAAGGTCATTCTTATTGTCATAATAATACGCCAACCTATCATTAAATCATTGTTGTCTCTTAATCCTTTTTTTCAATAAAGTCATTTTTTTTATAACAATGATTAATTATATACACGTACCTAAAATATTTAAGAGGTAGTTGGTGGTTTCAAAGTACAAAAAACGAAACTTATGATTTGCATGTTACTCTCCCTATATGTACACAGCATTACACTCATATATACATTTATATTTTTTTTTGTTGAAATTTAGAAGATGTAATTTGAGCCACGCGCTTAAAGGTATATCGTTTACCGAAGAAATCAATTGAGGAATCAATGTACGCCACATGTAGCTGCGCCATGAAAAAACTTCCAGACGTTTTTTACTGATGGTAGGACCTCTTGTGAGTCCGCGCGGGTAGGTACCACCACCCTGCCTATTTCTGCCGTAAAGCAGTAATGAGTTTCGGTTTGAAGGGTAAGGCAGCCGTTGTAACTATACTGAGATCTTAGAACTTATATCTCAAGGTGGGTGGCGCATTTAAGTTGTAGATGTCTATGGGCTCCAGTAACCACTTAACACCAGGACGGCTGTGAGCTCGTCCAACCATCTAAGCAATAAAAAAAATTATAATAAGAGAACACAAGCATGAGGGTCTTATCACAGAAATCTTAAGCTTTATGACTACGAAAAAATCTCGATCATTGCCATCACGTGATTAATAGGTACCTGATATTGTTTAATCGGCTACCTAAAAAGCCTTAAAACTTTAAACCGCAAAAAGCAGAGTAAGCCTTCTGAATAACTTGATAGATTATGTTTTATTTTTAAACAAAAATATTCTAAAAGCATTTGGAACTCACTAAAAATGTTATGTTGCGTCCATAATATCTTTTAGTTAAATGCGTTGTATTGTAAGGAACAATTGTCGAAAATTTTCTTCAGGCGCAACTAATTTGCTAGTGGACAGGCTAATGGACAGCAGCAATGCCAGGACAAAACCAATAACCAATAACGAGGACAGGAAAGAAACATATCTACCTAGATGTCACATAGGACACTTCATTTCAAATATCAATCACTAAATCATTTTCCAAATAATTTTTTTTTTCTTATAATAAAGACATATCTGCTTATAATAAAGACATTTCTATTACCGCTTTCATTTATTTCATAATTTGTCTATTATTTATGTTATTCATTATAATAAAACTAATAGGAATCATAGTTTGTAAACTTACCTTTTCAAGCTAATAATAGCGGGAACCTCATTATGATGATCTGTTACGTAATGTTTTTGTGTGAACACATGCCGTTATTTTTTCAACAATAAATCGACTCATCTAAATGTATTTCCGGGATGTTCTAAAAATCTAGAACAACATATTATGTATGGAAACTAAGCCGTGATGTTCTATAGATGAAATCCAAGCACTCCATATGGTGGCCTTAACCGTCTGTTAATACCATAACCGTTAGCATCTTTATACATAGCATTCATCTTACATTAGTATAAAAGCAAAAACGCAAATATTAGTAGAAGCTATCAGCAAAAATGGCATAATACATAAGTCGTACAAGTTCATAAAGCTCTCAATCACCTCATTGTGACACAATAACAAACTTAATTTCACCACCTCATTCAACTAAGATCTTGTGTTAGTTAGGCCTAAATTCTAATAGGCCAGGCGTTGACAGAATGCAATTTAGAGATTATAGCAATAGTTGATATGAGGGATTATTTCAATTCTATGCCCTCACAAAAACAAATGACGCATAAGCTAGCCACAGTGTTTATCAAATTATTTGATAACTGAAACACAAGTTGCTTTGTATTATGACACATTTACTGGCAATACATTCATTAAAAAATTGATGGTTCCAGTTAAAAACTCACACATCTCGTTGTATTCATTAAGGGTCTTGTTCAGGTTCGCGGCTAGGCTCCTTAGATCTGCGTACTTGGTGATCGCGAGTCTGTTGATCTCCTCAAGCAGCATGTAGTGTTCCTGTACCAAATATTTACTTGAAATAACCATATGGGTCTTGTTTCTGGTAATTCTCTGGGTCTTAAGTGTCTTGGTGTGATACAACAATCAGTCCCTTGCAACAATTTGCTTAAGGATTTATTATTCTTACATATTTTCTGTAAACTGGTTATAGATATTCATAAAAAATTAATACAAAACAAAGATATGATACTATATTTATTTCGAAATAAACTGTAGATTTATTAATCTTTCATTCATTAAATCGATTATTTTTAATAGTGCAGTTCTAATATTGTAGCATTGCCCTCAAATTGGAAGCTTTTGAGAAATAATTATTAGCATGGTCAAACCAAACCCTGTACAATTTAATGCACATAATGTTGTTTTCTCTGAATCAAACTATTTCTAACAAAGACAATGAACCTTCTCAGATGAAAAAATCTGAAGATATGCTTTTAAATTCTGTGTAATTTCTTTACCATTCAGAAGCAGCTATATAACTCACTATTACAGGTATTTTAGTTCAATAACCTATAATCCCACCAACATCTTAAATTATTTGCATAAAATGTTTATTAATAAATCCTGATTAACCTAGTTTACACACATCATCAGGATTTAATACCAAAGAAAGTATCTGTAGTATGTATGTATTCACGACCTATGGTTTGTATCATATTGATAAGCCCTCACCTGTCCAGCAACCATTTCAGCCTGAAGGTAGTCAGTTGTTTTTTTAAAGAGCTGTGTGGCTAACCGACTGATCACAGGATCATGTGGATCCAGGACTTCGAAACTCGAACAGCTGGGTGACATTTGAAGCTCTGCAAAAAAAAAACTGTCATACTATAGATAATAATACTGATGTATGTGAATGGTTTCAAATAATATTATGATTATTTTACTCTATATCAAACCTTTCAAGTTTGTTTTGAATCTGTCTGTTTATACTGATACTTTGTCCCTTCAAACACTACCTACTTCAAACCTACTGGACCAAAGAGGTATATTTATGAATATCAAAGTTTATGATGAGTACCAAAAATTTGGTTTTATATAAATAATATCCTAATAAAATAATATCCTTTGACTAAAGTAAGTTTACTTTTTATGACAACCTATATGTCTGTTGAAAACAAAACAACCACTAATCCAGTACTTTTTTTTTTTTTTTTATTGCTTATATGGGTAGACGAGCTCACAGCCCACCTGATGTTAAGTGGTTACTGGAGCCCATAGACATCCACAACGTAAATGCGCCACCCACCTTGAGATACAAGTTCTAAGGTCTCAAGTATAGTAACGACGGCTGCCCCACCCTTCAAACCGAAACGCATTACTGCTTCACGGCAGAAATAGGCAGGGTGGTGGTACCCACCCGCGNCCACCTGATGTTAAGTGGTTACTGGAGCCCATAGACATCCACAACGTAAATGCGCCACCCACCTTGAGATACAAGTTCTAAGGTCTCAAGTATAGTAACGACGGCTGCCCCACCCTTCAAACCGAAACGCATTACTGCTTCACGGCAGAAATAGGCAGGGTGGTGGTACCCACCCGCGCGGACTCACAAGAGGTCCTACCACCAGTACTATATAATTTATCTATCTATATAATTTAATGCATCTATAATAGTTTCAAGAGATATGCCCTATTTTAAACTGAAAATCTATGGGAATCAAAGGATAAGACGTGCATTAATATCTAGAAATGCACTGGTGTTTGAATCTCGTTTGGAAGTACCCATTTTTCTAATGAAATACATACTTTTAACAAATATTCATGATTGACTTCCACAGTGAAGGAATAACATAGTGTAGTAAAAATGAAACCCACAAAATTATAATTTGCATTGTTACTGGTGGATATCTTGTGAGTCTGCACAGGTGCGTACCACCACCCTGTCTATTTTTGCCGTGATTCAGTAATGCATTTCTGTTTGAAGGGTGGGGCAGCCGTTGTAACTATACTGAGACCTTAGAACTCATATCTAAAGATAGGTGGCAGCATTTACGTTGTAGATGTCTGTGGGCTCCGGTAACCACTTAACACCAGGTGGGCCATGAGCTCATCCCCCCAATTAAGAAATTTAAAAAAAGGTCCAAAATGCTTGAAGTTATTGATTTGTAATTTTCCCTGCATCACATTCATCTATATCAGTGGTGGACAAACATTTTTAATGGCGGGCCACAAAGTTTAAGAAATTCTAGAGGAGGGCCAGAATTATAGAAAAAATGCGTTTTGTATTAAAGCTTTTTAATAATCAAAATACCTTTTACTATTATGCCTTGTTAGGTGTGTGAGTCGTGAGGCATGTGATAGATAGGTGAAAAGAATGGTTTTTTTTTTCAATAAATAAACGAATACCTGTCACAGACTGCCGAGATAATTATAATGATAGAAAGTTAATTATAAGATAATGAAAGCTCAAAAAACCCTTTCATTAAAAATTCGAAGATTTTCAATTATAAACATCAGATATTTTATGCACCAAAATGCTGACTAGTTGAATATTTAGGATGAATGGACTCTCGGTGGGCCATATTAAATACTTACTTTGCCCATATCTGATCTATATCATTTATTTCTTAACACCCATTAAGAATAATGATCTTCGATTTATATACATACCTAAAATTTCAAACAATTTGTGAATGCTCAAACCCTAAACATCTAAATGTATAAGAAGGCAAGCCCCGCATGCATTTCAGCATAGCTAAAAGTTTTCACCAGTGGTTTATCAAAAGCTCTCTCTTATTGTATCTAAGGTAAGGTCAACATTCCTACATTAATGAGATACTGAAACTATATAAGGTGAGAGGACAAACATGAAGGTATGAAAATAAATGATAAGAGGAAGGACCATGAACTAAGTTGAAAATCAAACTATGATAACTTTAACATTTTATATTCAATTAGTGCATCATATCCGTTCTGTAAATTAATAAATGTTTAAGGTTCTTATTGATTTCTTTCTTACTCTGGTATTTGTGATGCATGAGAATAGATTCACTGCACATACACGTCATCGTGAAGATTGTTTTATATTAAACACTTTAACATCAGTTGTAATAACAAATGCAATCCACTTCTTCGAAAAAATATTATTATTACCTAACATATTTTAGGTAATGTCAAATGGTGCTCTTTTACTATTAAGAACGGAAACCGACGCGAATGTACCGGAACAATTGTCTCAAATATAAGTACGGCCACCAGTGCGCAAACGAAGTCTAAATTTTCACAAATCAATAAATTATACCTAGGTTGTAGAGTATAGAATATGGTGCATCGCCTGTTAAACTTCCTACCTTTGTTTCTTCCGTCTCTCGTCCATTTTTCTATGTCTTCTGTGCTGAGACTCATCAGGGATCCAGCTTTTAAAAATAGTAATACACAGTATTTATGATAATTGTGAATAAAGTTTCTGTTATGATAAACTCCAAATCACATCAAATAAACTAAAAATAGGTTGGCAATGTTGGCATTTGGTTGGCATTACAGCGTTGACGTTACTAAGTGTGTGTATTATCTATGGTTAAGTTATATACAATACTAATAAATATCTTATTAATATATATAAATATTTATTAATATAAATATCTTAAATAGAAAGTGTAATTTTAGTATTTTCTGCTATTGACCAGTAACGATATATAAAATCAAGAAAACTGACATTTCCAATTTTATTTGTACATTGGTATTTTATCAAGAACACGTAGCGTTCAAAAACACCGTCATCATCATCATCATCAGCCTGCGGCAGTCCATTGCTGGGCATAGGCCTCCCCCAATGCTAGCCACTGAACCCGATCTTTGGTTCTACACATCCAGTCATTGCCAGCAATTAATCAAAGAAAGTTAATTATGGATGTGTATGGTTTGTTATTAAGATTAAAGGGTTATGGCAATGCAGTTGGAATCAACGCGACAGTTCCTAGTAGTACATATGGGTGAACTCTGCTCTAGTAGTGGGCAGTGCGATGATAAAAAAGAGATGAACATGAAGACATCTTGATGTAAACTTCTTACATGAAATTATCAGTCAGATGGAGACTGGAACTTGCTGCTTTCAAATACGATATTATATACAGACCGGGGAAAGAGAACTATGCTGCTGATGCACTATCCTGAGTTTGTGCCACTGTAGAAACACACTACTGAATTTAATAATGTCGCAGAACCACTTCCGGAAACAGAAGACCAAAACGTGGCGATTCCTTCATCTAATGAAACGGAACCTGTGGTACTTGATAATAGCAGAGACCTAGAGACCGAAGTTTGAAGTCGTCGTGGCCTAACGGATAAGACGTCCGGTGCATTCGAGTTGAGCGATGCACCGGTGTTCGAATCCCGCCGGCGGGTACCAATTTTTCTAATGAAATACGTACTCAACAAATGTTCACGATTGACTTCCAACAATAACAAAGAATAACATCGTGTAATAAAACCCGCAAAATTTTAATTTGCGTAATTACTGGTGGTAGGACCTCTTGTGAGTCCGCGCGGGTAGGTACCACCGCACTGCCTATTTCTGCCGTGAAGCAGTAATGCGTTTCGGTTTGAAGGGTGGGGCAGCCGTTGTAACTATACTGAGACCTTAGTGATATAATTTAAAATTCTTGGTAGCACAGAGTCCAGTCTTTAAATCCCAGAGTGCAGGCAGTTACGAAATAATATACTAACACACTTTTATATATTACTATTAGTTACGTCGATGTTTTAGAATTTAGTATCGAAATCACAGTTTTCTTATTTTATTTTATTTCACGAAATGACAGACATTTTTTCACTTATTTTTATGACACCTCTTGTCACTGGTTTCTATGTATACGTTTTCTTTTCATAAGGAGTTTCTATATTATCAACTCTAATACTTAGAACTTATTATATCTCAAGGTGGGTGGCGCATTTACGTTGTAGATGTCCATGGGCTCCAGTAACCACTTAACACCAGGTGGGCTGTGAGCTCGTCCAACCATCTAAGCAATAAAAATTTAAAAAAAATTGCCAACATCACCACCACCGGATCCAATACTTCGTAAATCTGGCCGCGTCCATAAAACACCAGAATTTTTAAACGATTATGTTTTAAAATAGTGCGGGAGAATGATGTAAGCTTCTTACATGAAATTATCAGTCATAAGTTTATGTGCGAGACGTGGAAAGGAAGAAAATAGACGCTCTGGAAATGTGGTGCTGGAGAAGAATGCTTGGAGTTTCGTGGACCGACTTTCGTACAAATGTCTCGATACTTCGGAACTCGGCATCAAGCAGCGTCTATTTGGTATAGTACAGTCTCGAATGGTGAATTTCTTCGGACACATTTCGCGACGAGATGGCCGGTCCATAGAACGCCTCGTTGTACAGGGAAGCGTTGATGGTACAAGACCGCGCGGGAGGCCACCAATGCGGTGGACCGACCAAATTAAAACTGCAGTGGGAGGTCCCTTAAATGAGTGCAGTAGAATGGCCTCGAGCAGGGAGAGATGGCGCGACATCGTGAGACGCATCAAGTCTGCCCCTTCNTGTACAGGGAAGCGTTGATGGTACAAGACCGCGCGGGAGGCCACCAATGCGGTGGACCGACCAAATTAAAACTGCAGTGGGAGGTCCCTTAAATGAGTGCAGTAGAATGGCCTCGAGCAGGGAGAGATGGCGCGACATCGTGAGACGCATCAAGTCTGCCCCTTCCAACACTACATGACGATCACGACCACTCTGTCAAGAGTGAACTGAGAAGAAGAAGAAGTTTATGTCATTGTCAATCTATTTTATTAGTTATTTGTCAACGTATCTAATGTAACTAAACAAATTTTACTGTTAATTTTAGCTTATTAAATTGAAAAAAGAGAAAACCTTATATTCATTAAAGGTTTTCTCTTATTACACATCTCAAACATATTCTCTGAGTACTCTCCATGAAATATGTGATAAGTACAAAAAACAAAGAGAACCAAAGTCCCTCCGTAGGGGTTTTAAGCGATCCGCAACAACGGCAATATCAATAATACTAACGGCCTTCTTCTGTATGGTGTCAAATGGTAGTAGCAATAAATAGTAGCCCCTACGCATACAATAAAAAAATTATGCTTTGTAAAAGAGAAGTCTTTGTCCAGAGGTGCAGTACCACTCTGTTGAGGACTTCTAAGATTTAGAAACTAGCTTGGCTTTGCCTTCTAAATTACTCAGATACCGAGCACCGCATGAAATATCGACCACAAGAATCCTAACACTCTCGGAAAGCTTATACGACAAAGATATCTTGGAAGTGAAAGTTCTCTACTTTATATAAAAGGTTTTGTTCATGTTTTCTGTGCCATGTTCCAAAAAAAAATTGTAATGCACAATATACTGGCATAGCTATTATTTGGCATAGCTATTACTATTACTGTAAATTTTATTTTATCATGTTCTTATAGATATATATTTGAATAAATCTGGAATGAAATGTGCCTTAGGTCTTTTATGCAAATTAAAAATACTCTAGAAGTAATTTGTAATACTACTTCTACTAGTATTTTGTGTGTGATACGAGTATTTTTACACAATGTTTCTAATGGACATGGCTGTGCTGCTACAGATTCGACTATCACATTTAGTCTTCAATCTGAGACTATCACTATCATGTTAAAGAGAACCACAAAGGTAGACCCTCCATACAACAAAGCCAAAAAGAGACAATATGGTTCTGTCAACTGGTGTCTAATATCAATTGTCTGTTCCTAAAAAGATCACACTAAAGCGTGTGTTTTTTTCATTCGGTTCCTTGTTCCTAAGAATACACCATGGAGTTATTAAGTTAAAATATTAACTCTATGGAATACACGTACAAAGTGTCATACAATTAATACTATTTAAAAATAAAAAAATATGGAGTCTATTTTTAAAAAAATATGAAATTTATTAATAGTATGTACACTACCTATTATTTCTTATTAATTGCAACTCATTTTTGCCATCTAGTGAGTGTATTGAAACAATAATGCCAAAACATTTTAAAATTGACGGGCCCACAGTATTAAGATGGCGCTAGTTGAATGTTTTCACCTTTGTATGAGAGTTGCAAGCCCCTGGTCAGAGCAATAGCTAGAACCACAGAATATGCACTTCGGCTTTAGCAGAGAGTTACCTTGTGACTGTGCGAACTGTTAATGTGCTCATTTGTCATTCGTCTTTTATGTAAATGACGTGTGATACTGGTAGCTAGTGGCTCTCGTAAATCAGACAAAATTATAATTTTGTACTCAAAATGGATAAAGCTATTGTGAATGTGAGATTTAAAGCAGCAGTGACTATTATTCTATTAGTATTCTTGGTCAACCGAGGCTCTCAAGGTTAGTTTATTCCAACTTAATTACTAAAACAGTTCATAAATCACACAATATCTTTAAAGCTCGTAATATATTTTACTTAACGGTAGAAAAATAATTAAATGGTAATGATCACTCGTTTCTCGAAAGTTTCACGGATTCGATACGACCAGTGGATTAAAAAAAATTCTAGGTCAGTCCTTTATTTTCGTGACGTAGGGAGAGAAAAACACGTCGAAAAGTTATAAGACTATTGTTTGCTAAGATTCAGCCGAAACGATGTTCCGTGTTTCTGTGGCATACCTATTTGATATTTCTACTTGATGCTTCAGAGAATTAACGGTATTTTTATTAAGACAATGGCGAGCACATTTCTTTGGTCAGCTGGATCTGACGGTAATGAATGCATTGAAAGTCAGAATAGCGATTATTGCCTTTGCGTTCCCGCGCTATTTTATTAAGTTTTAAAAAAAAATGCTTTAATGCCGAATAAAGGTGAGGTGGGGAAAGTTTTCGATGCGACGACGAAAGACCGCTTCCGCCGAGCAAACGCCCTTCAAACAACCAATTAAAAAAACCTAGTGGGTATGCTTTGGAAACTCATTAATCGAAATCTCGACAGTCATTTCTGTAATGTACCTACATAACCTACACAAACCTCTTCATCTCCCAAGGGCTATCAACTTGGAATATGCACTCTTTTCTGAAATTTAATAGGACAACTATCTTATGCTCGTTTACTTGCTTTTCGGAAGTTTGGCTTAGAGAATATCTTAATATAAGCCCTAAAGCGTAAAAAAGATAAAAAAATCTTAATCCTTTATAAAAGACTGCACTTTGTGACAGCCGAAAATAAATATCTATAGCTTCATTATAAATATATTATATGCTTCAGCTTTTTAAGTATAGTGAAAGTTACTTTGAAAACTTGAAGACGTCTTAATGGTTCTGGATCGCAGGGATGCCGACGGATCGGAATTACCCGCCATTATTTTTATTAATAGCATACCTTCCTTTAAGACCAGAGTTTTCTTTACTTTCTACCCCACTGAGTTTCTCGCCGGATTTTCTCAGTGGGTCGCGTTTCCGATCCGCTGGCAGATTCTACGAAGCACTGCTCTTGCTAGGGTGCGTGTTAGCAACAACATCAGGTTTGAGCCCCGTGAGCTCACCTACTAGTTCGGTGAATCTAGAATAATCTAGATTTTTATCGGACAGAGCGAATATGTTGGCGCGTAGGTTTGCGAAATGTACCGCACAGGTGAAAATCACATTATTTAAGGTTTACTGTCAGTCTATTTACACCTGCAGCCTATGGGTTAAGTATACGCAACTGGCTTGCAGTGGCTTGCGCGTCCAATATAACAGTGGGTTCAGGGCACTGATGGGGCTGCCGCGGTTCTGTAGCCGTCGGGGATGTTTGCAGACGCCGGTGTTCACAGCTTTGCCGAAATCCGTAGGAAGCGAACAGCATCCCTGATGCGGCGGGTGCGTAGCGGCTCCAACGGTTACCTGCAACTCAATTCGAACAGAATGGAGGTGGATTGTCCATTCTTCTTAACATGGAATCGCCTACATGCGGCGGGATAAATATATGTATTTCCAAAATGTATTTTTATATATGGGCTAAGATTGGTCTAAAATAAATGATTATTATTATTATTATCTCGCTACTGCGTACATATTGTCATGTTGATCTTAGAGATGGAATCAACAATAATTCAAATCGCATATTAAATTTTTGTTTCGGTGTTTAAAATTTTCGTTCTAACAGGAAGGATGGGAATTATAAATAATTAGTACTTTGATTGGTATCAACAACGTATTAAATACTTATTTCATATGAACGCGGGAAAAATCCATCGCGTGCCCTTAATGTCGTATAAATATTTTGGTAAAAGTAAATTACGATTTAGATTCGTAAATACTATGTCGGCTATGAGTCCAAGTTTACCTTGAAATTTTGTTTAATATACGAAAATACGTTACGTTCTTTGTATGCTTAGTCTGTCGCAATCGCCGCGTTTACAATAATTAAAACAGATATTTTTAAAACTAAAACGACTAGAACATTAATTCCCTAATGGCTTACCTACTTCGAAAATGATTTTCTAGAACCGTCTACAGGAAGACTCGACTTTGTGCATCTACTTTCAAAACTACGAGTAGCGGTTAATTGGTTATCATTGAAAAGTTAATGAGAAAAAAAATACTGGGAATCAATCAGAATTTATGTTACCTATCACTATCATTATTATGTTTATTTTCCTCCAGCTTAGGCTCAGATAGTTGGCGACGTTCATGTTGTGATGTCTGTAAGCTCAGATAACCACTTAACATAAGGTGGGACTGTTGATTGCCCACATACAGCTACAAAAAAGTGCAATATATATATAAAAAATATGCACGTGGCATATAAGAAAGATAAGCCTATTCTCCTCTGCTTATTCGAATTCAAAGAAAATTGCAAAGTAAAAACCAAATAAATCGCTGAAACTCTCATTGCGAAAAATGAAAGCTTGTGCAAAATCGATTGTTCAAATACACAAACATAAATTACATGCTAAAATAATGAAGAAGGCATTCACCTTTTTTTGTTACAAGAAAAAAAAAACGACCGTGGTATTCAAATCATTCCTTCATTTATTTACAAACAAAATCATCCAATAGAATAACAAGACAATGAGTCGAATGAACTCGTAGTGTGAGTATGTAATATTGTAAACTGTTGCATCCTGCAGCTTAATTAAAAACAATCATGACAATATATCAACATGGGTTTTAATGTGACAACTGACGCGGTTAGTGTCTCTACAAGTGCTTTCTAGTTAAATAATATACTTAACAATACGCTCGGAAAGCTGCGGGCATGTAACTACCACTTGAGCCAATAACTTTGAGGCCGATTTACACACGATGAAATTTTTTAATGAACCGAGCTCAGAATGTCCTGCAATTAACTCGCTTACTATACATGTTTCAAAGTATATTTGTCACTCGGAAAGACATCTCAAGCCGTCTTATTATTTCTACAATAGCATCCGATTTTTGCGAATATCGATAATCGGACGAGGTGAAGATCTCGAATGACAGCGTCGCTTGTATTGCAACAACACAGTTCGCATCGTTCAAGAAATGAATTCTGTAATCTATATATTAAATACGTGAAGCAAAAACTTTGTACCCCTTTTTACGTAAATTGCGCGGACGGAGGAGTGCAGAATGATATATATTTTTTTAATTATGCCTTAATAGTACATTAAATCAACAAGAAAACATTACACACACTACCATGTATTTGACACATACTCTGTTTCTTGTTCAATCTTAAAATGCTGCGCGATCATTTGAGATTTTCATTCGAAAACATACTTATCATACATAGCACACACACTAGGTGTGTACCTGTGTACAGAAACGCAAAGTGAATGATTGCACGAACGAGCACAAAAGCAAACGTAAAACCTTGCCCAATGATTTCTATACACTCCATTTCGTCCTTTTTAATTTTAAAAGTATATATTTTAGGTACTGTAAATTATGTACCACATAGTATAATAAATAATATGTCGCACAGTGGGTCGATTCTATGATTTTAGTGACTTAGGGACCAACTTTGTTTTTTTATAATTTTTTTTATGTAGATAGATAGAGCTCGTTAATCTCAATAATAATTGTTTTGGGCAAAAATTACAAAAACTTTATAGTTTGGTCAGAAAAATGTGTTTTGTGATTTTTTTGTATGGAGCGGGTCACATTAAATTAAATTCCTGCTAAGTACCGCGAGGTCCCGCTTTGAAACTTTATTTTCCTTATACCTTGTCTAGTCTACTATCATTTGATGCTATGAACATGTGCATAAAGTTGCAACTCTGCCAAATAAATGGATCGAAAAAATTTAATAAAAACATAGAATAAAAACCTTTATATTTTTTTTCGTAAGTGCTTTTAAGTTAAATTTGATATGGATTAGTAAGTAAAAGCACGTAATGATACCCATAATTA